TCCAGGGTGCTTTAGGATGTGATTTATGGTGGAGCAAGAACACAAAGACAATGACTTATGGCCTGTGAATTGTTTGTGTTAGCCGCCCCATAAAAAGGCATAACCTTGTCAACTTAGGCAGTGTATGGACTCAAAGGTGATTTAGGTGGAGCGTGTGTTGCAGTGCGTACCCTGCACTTCCAAAATCAGCTGCAGTCCAGATGGCCTTTCAGCTCATTTCCGGCCGCCTGAGTTTGGAGACGGAGAAATTTGTGACACAAAACATACAATGGGAGCAAGATCATTCCAAGAAAATGGAATAGAAACGTAGGCCTATCATTAGGCAACTTGTCAGGAATTTTAGAGCAATTTTGTTGATTTACAAGAAGTAGCTGACAAAATGTTTGATTAAAGATTATACCATGTAAAATGTTGAATTCATATGATGTACACCTAATAAAACTAATCCATGTTTAACCAATGTTCCAAAATAATCCATGTTTAACCAATGAGATTTTTCATTTGTTATGGACAGAAGGTAGGCTTTTGTCTGCAAGCCATTGGTGCTTCCTCACCTGTGTCCGCCTACTACTCTTAACCACATTTTGCATACAGTGAATATATAGTGTGAAATTATAAAACATTTTATGAACTATATTTAAATCTTCATGACATGTGTTAATACAATAATAATAATAATATAATATAATTTGTGGTCAAACAGCTCTGAATAGCAGCAAGATAAATGCTCAACTTAGCATATCATTTATAGTTAAAGGGGTTGTAAATAATGCCAGGGCAAAAATTCAGATTGGAAGACTTGACTCAAACTTATCTCTCATCCAATAATTGGCCAATGTCCTCTTGCTGCAAACCTATCACTCCCATGATACGCCATTCATCATGGCCAATCATCATCCATGTCTCTGCATTTATAATCTCTACAAACATGTTTCTGTCTGCTTCCAACAATCTGCCACCCTCCTCCAACCCATCATCACCTTCGTTTTTAACATTGCTCCCTTCATCTTTTCCACTACCGGTGTAAGGACCCTGCTGGAAAGAGTACCTACAGTAAGTCTATCTTTTCCCATGTCTTTCTCATGTCAGTAAAACCCTAAATGTTTCTTGACTTCTTGGCTGTCTTTCCTGAAAGGAAATAAAATAACTCCAAAAGCATTACATATATGATTCATTTAACTAATCTTACATTTTTAACTTAGTATAGACAATTTCCTCTCAAAAAAAGTATGGCTGTGCCTGCTCCGGGTTTGGGCTGAGAGTAGATTGAGTTCAAAAGCTGTATGTCACATTTTCTTTGAGGGTCTGAATGTCTATTAGATGAAAAAGTGGTGGACTCAAAATTTCTCACAATGTCTCTTGAAAAGGAGTGTGCAACCAGGGTCACTAGACAAGCAGATATACTCCAGGATGTTTTGCGTGAGCTGTCGTTGCTAAGCATAACAGGATTTGTTTGGGGGCGAGAGAGAACAAAGATGGCGCGGGCACTGTGTGGGGAGACGCAGTAACGTGACCAACGGGAGCGAAAAATAGTGATCATCTCTCCGAAAGGTCTAGCAGTTTGAATGTACTGTAGGATCAATAGTGTTTGCACCCTTAAGTTTACAGTCTGTAATAAAAAAGGGGAGATTGAAGTGCCACAAAAATGATTTTAGCATCTTTTTACTTTAAGCAAGGTCGCTTGTTTCTATTGAAAACAAAATTACCTTTTCATGCAGTGCAGCATGGTCAGTCAACTAATTACAATCATGCTCTCTGAGTTTGCCAACAGATGGTAATGGCATAAACATTTAGATCCTCATTCAAAAGAACAAGATTTGAGCATTAGTGTGCAAAAATCTGCATTCATGCTGACATAAACCAATATTTGTAAAAGCCAAACTAGCAATCAAAGAACCACAAGAAGCCCAAAGACTTTAGGATTTATCAGTGCTATAACATTGCTAACAATGATGGGAACAAATTAACTACTGTATAGACTAGTTTCCTACTGTTTAATTAATCAACCAAACATTTATATGAATCTAAGGGAACATTAAGGTTTCCTGGTTGTGAGAACATGCAGCCAACAATCACAGTATCCACACTAAGAGACCATTTCCTACTTAGGCCACCCACAACAACTCACCGTCATCTATGAAGCTTTAGGTTAAAACATCAACTGAAAGACATTTGGCATATTATGAGCAAAGCACCTTCTAAAGTGACAACATTAACATTATTTCCATGCTTCCCTCTCTGTGCTATTCCCATAAATTCTCCTATTGCAGTGGTATTCACATCAGATCAGGCCTCCTAAGTCCAATTTGTGGATTTACTACAAATCTGTAATTGCAGCTAACCCTGAAGTAATTCAACACTTCCCATGAAATATGGTCAGCGACTTACCACCATGTCAGGTGATGGCATGCTTTAGCTTGTTTCCCAGGCTGTTTTTAGATGTGTTATGGTAGTGTATATCAGTCATAATGCCAAGGTCATGGCTCCTAGATGAGTTTTCCACTATTAGAGTTCATTATAGCTCATTAGACCTCAGCTGCTTGTCTCTTTACCCCTTATAACATGCTCTCACACACATTTATACACAGAAAATCCCCTGAAAGGACAGATGGTCAGTCACACATGCAACACAAAAACACACATACAGTCAAACACACCCCATCCGTGCCAAATGGCAAATAGCAGCGTAGGCTGAGTGTTCCTAGAAACTGTTGTTTGGTAAACGGAGAACGCTGGGAGTTTGGGAGGGGAATGGGGGAGTGCAGCAGGTGGTTTGGTTTCAGGTCCCACTGGATGCATTCCCTCACTTGAAACCATAGTCCAAGGTAGTACAGCCTTTTGGAAAGCAAGTTCATCTCTGGATTCTGACTACTGGACAAGGGGAGGGGGTGTTTGTTTGTATCAGGGTGAATGATAGGAGTTGTTAGGGGCCAGAGACCTGTTGGGGCCCAGTTGACTGACTTTAGTTGAGTTTCTCCTCAAACAGCACATTTTGCTTTTCTTTGTATAAGGGCTGTGGCTTCTGCCATCAAGACAATTTTGGAAAACCTGCTTTATATAGCAATTTAGCAAAGATCCAAAGAGAGGGATTCAAGGGTACTTGTAAGCCAATATTCCTACAGTCAGAGCTTACTATGTGTGAATGCATTCTCCCAACAAGAAACTGGTTAAAGAATAAATTATATGCAAAATATACTTACTGAAGACTTTGGAAAGATAAAAGGCCAAAAGGTCAAGGTTTTCAATTGTTTTTCTATTTCTTCTGGAAATAAGAGCATTTTGGTTCTTTATTTTCCTCGGCAGCAGTTCTTTCTTTGATTCTGTGAGCTCCCAAAAAGCCAAATAAATAAAGGTAAGCTGGGTTAGGATAGGTTAAAATACACAATAAAACTAAATGTTTTGGCAAGATTCTTCCTAAGAATGTAAACATTTTTCAAATCAGAGAATCTTAGGTTCAAAGCAAATTATGGCATTATGCATCCTTCTCTTTAATCCTACTTTAGAAGTTAGGACCACAAGAATGTAAAAAAAAAAACCCACAAAGTCTTATATGGCTTTACATGTTAATGTAATAACCATCAGTGTGTAGAGAAGTGAGTTGATGGATGGATGGATGGACGGACGGACGGACGGACGGACAGACAGACAGACAGACAGATAGATAGATAGAAAGATAGATAGATACATGTTTGACATTTACTCTGAGTGTAATGATTCTATATATATATATATATATATATATATATATATATATATATATATATATATATATATATATATATATATATATATATACATATTCACATATTTTGTGAATAAAAAAAACCTGCCCTCTTCACTTTGCTGTTTGCATTGCTCATACAAGCTTACATTGTAAAGGAAGATTTGCAATTTTTCCACTGCGCACCTACAGCAGAAAATAAGCAAATCACAGCAGGGAGGGGACATTTAGTTGGGGGAAAACCTGCTGTGGTGAGTTACACTGCACAATAAAAACAGCAGGAGATACTGTAGTTTCATCTGTTTTCAGAAATGAGGGGAGGTGCAATAAAAAATGTCAAATCTTATGTAATCTATAGTAGTTATATGATGAAGGGGATAAAATTGTATTTAGATATTGAATTTAAAGACTATCTAAAATCTGAATCAGAGTAATACAAAAAATACTTTAATCTTAAGCATTAACATATTTTAAAGCTGACTTTGAGACAGCAGCAATATATCAAATTAGGATTTGAATTATGTTGCATACTTGCTGCAGTGCAAAAACCACATGGTTCTGTGAATCTAAGAAACAAACATTATGTTCAATACATTAAAGTAAAATATGATGAAGTGAAGACATGTTTATATGTTAGTGAACATATGGGAAACAGTGTTTACATTATGCTAGTGTTAGCTGGCAGCCTTTACCATCTGCTGCTGTAACACCTGTGCTGGGTTTTAAAATGCCACTTATCTCAGAGCAACATTTTCTTTTAAAGCTACACACTGTCATGATCTGGCACACACCTTTGAAAACTAAAACATCCTCTCAAGGAAATGTGGGATACATTTGGCATTATTAAGTCAACTAATACACAATATTGAAATTATTAACAGCACTTACCAAAAGAATCCCTAAAATATTCCCTATTTCTGTCAGAGTACACCCACAAACAGAAATAATAGTCGGTTTTAATTGGAATTTTAATGAAAATGAAACACAAAGTACTGCATAATTCTTCAGAGAAAGAAAACATGGAAATGTACACTTAAATTCAGTTCCATTAGTTAAATACTGTGCAAAAACAACCTTTCCCTGCAGTCATTACTGCAAGAATTTGGAAGCATATTTTTTATGAGCTTTGCAGATCTAAGGCATACTGTAAAGGCATTCATCTCTAGTTCTCTAGCCTCTATACCAGGCTTTTATCCTGCATTGTCCTGCTTTTATTGTTGAGACGGGAGATTTCAGAAGCAATTTCTGCTTGAAAGTACACAACAGAAATAAATAAGACTAGCCTTACAGTTATCAGTTATACAAACAATATTTCCATTTAGTTATGATTGTAAAAGTAAGAGATAAAAATATATTTTATAGAAGCCCTTCAAAATTAACCAGACATCTTTTAAGTCTCTTTTAAACCTAGAAGACACCTCCGATTCTATTTAACAACATCTTCTTTATAACCGTAGCAAATTAGGACTGAATCAGTTGAAGTACCAAACCAGATGAAAAAATGAAAGTGCGCATTCAGCGTCTGCTCTGCCGATAATGCAAGCGTAGAAGAAGAAATGTGCTGTTTATATGTGCAAAGAAAGAAAGAACGAAAGAAAAATGTCTGAGGACTTCAGTGTTGAGGAAGAGCATGAGTTCTTTGCCGAGCTGAATGCGCAGGTTTGGTCTTCCGCGGTTTCCGTAGACTCGTGAACGCGCTTTTAGAAAATCCTATACACTACTGTTTATGCTCTAAAAAAATTCTAAATGACTTTGTTTCGCGTAAATTATGGACGCTACCCACTCAGGACACTTGGAATACATTGGACGAGCAGTATGGAGGAATATTGACACGTTTTTTGTGGACTTTTATGGACCTTTCTGCCTCTGGCGCCATAGACTTCCATTATTTGAATGCCAGCAGACAGCAAGAAGCCTCCCAGATCTCCAGATGCATTTGAGATATCAAAAAAGTACTCCAGAGTGTTGTTCAGCATGGGGGTGAGTAGAAAATGAAGGCTAATCATGTTTTGGGTGTACTATTCCTTTAAGAGTTAGAAACCTCTGGCCTGTTTTTCTATCCCACAACACAATGCTACCATCTACATCGTTCAAGATACAGGCTCAGGGAGACCATCACACATGTTGTGTTTACTGCTACCAGAAATAGCAGTTTGCCTGTTGGATCAATTGTCTGTATTATGCGCACATGTTCATGGTTTTAGTTAGATGTCTGACCCACATGCATAAACCACTATCACAAAACTCAATAAGGTTTAGGAATTGCATGACGCATTTGATAAGGTGACAGTGAGATGTGGGATGAAATGGTATAGGAACTGGGAAATCACAG